AGTTGGTTGATCCTTCAGGTGTGGCAGTGGTGTAGTGGGACCAATCAGCGTTCGCCATGCCCTCATACACGTAGATTTTGCTCTCTGTTTACTGTTCCCTTCGTCTACTGTAACTAACAACCTCCAGATGGTGTATACATGCTGGAGCATGAACCTACCTGACCCCGCCCTCCTACACCCCCACGTCAGCTACAACCCTTTAGGTCAGGTCATCTCCCACCACACCAAAAGCAGCCCAACCCTCAGGCAAGAAGACTTTACCTTCCTCCTGGGCATTGATAGGGCAGTGTTAAGTGTCACAACAAACAACTAACTCGCCACCAACACTTAATGATAAACTCGTGCCTCTTGGGTTGGGAGACCAGCTGAGGCACGGCGCTCCTCACGTCTGCTTGCTGCCGCTGATCACACACGCCGCCGTAACTGGTAACGTGGCGACCACACAGTGGGTCGTCTGTAGTGCGTGAACCAACCCTTTATAATGGCGCTTCTTGTGGTCACCTAGACGGAGACGCTGCTGGTTCCGAAGGTGACTGGTCCAGTTAACCTAACCTAACCACAAGGACTGGGGCATAGTTCTATTGGGGCCCCACTTTATGGACCCCGGATCCAAAAGGGCCCCAACTCTAATGGTTTGCTTAGTTTAGGTTGGTGCCCAATATGACCTGATGACACCGTGTTGTGGTGGTGAGGCGTGCTGTGGTGGTGCAGCAGCCGTTCACCATCATCCCCGAGCAGGAGCCAGGCAGTAATAACAACGATAACTACCACAAACAAAAATCCCAAGTCCACACACCAAACACCTTGCAGTACAGAACCATCCACGTAGGAAGTACCGATGATAACGACAATACAAAAAAAATACGCACACAGACCAGATAAGATGTCAATACATAATATACACAGGAGCCAAAGGACAGGTAACCTCTACAAAAAAAAACAACTAAAATTTACGTGTGGCAAGACAGAGGTGCGTCACACATAACGACAGGTACGAGGCAAAAATACGACATGCATAAATACAGCGGTGACCAATCACGTGCCAGCCTCCCAAGGTGACCACGAGCGGTTACTGTGAATGAGTCATGTGTGGAGGATTTACCATGGCTTACGGTAAACAAATTCACTACAACCAGCTGATTTATGTAAACAAAGAATAGAACAGCTCGAATTGTTGACACTGTCTAGGCACTGTCCATAAGAAAGTAAAGGCACCGCCCATGGGTCATTCAGCCACTGGCATGAGTCTTTGCAAGTACCACCCACACCTGTGCATAGTTACAGATAAGTGCACATATCACAAAGCAATACTCTATCGTGGCGTGTAACGTATGTAATAGTAGGTGAGTCTGGGCTACCACACCACCACCTACCACAACACGCTGCTGCCTCACTCACGTCTTCCTTAAACTGTGAGTCAAACAGCGATGATGACGAGGCCTTTTCTACCACCCAAACTCCTCACAGTAAAAGACCCGACCTGGAAAACTAAACCGTGACATCCGCTCTCCTTTGGCTCTCAATAGATCTATTTTTTTCTAGTGTGCGTGTGTGAGTGTGTGTGTGTGTGTGTGTTTGTTTCACCTGGGGAGGTTTCTCTAATTAACAGGTTCAATCAAAATCCGGTGGTCTGGTCATCTACTGGGCCTCGCCGTGACCTGTAAGACCAGCCGCGGGTCAGATTACGTTTGAGTCCACAGATCTTCATCTAGCTGCCAATTCCTGATGGGTACGACCTCTCTCTCTCTCTCTCTCTCTCTCCTCAAGGCCGGCTGGGAAAGGAAATTGCAACTGGTGATGGTCTCTCTCCCATAATCTGTCTCATACACTGTAGTCTCTCTCTCTCTCTCTCTCTCTCTCTCTCTCTCTCTCTCTCTCTCCTTCAAGATGGGAGACAATAGTGTAACAGAGGACAGATCATCTCTATCTCTCCAGCTAGGAGGAGGAAATACCAAAAGCCACACTCGTCTATCATTTTATGCAAGAGAGAGGAAATACCGGCCGAGAACAACCTTTCATCTCCCTCAGCCGCCGTGAACGATCTCTCCATCTCGCTGCCGAAGGTGAGAGGGAGGAGAAATTTGCATTCTTGTCCACGTCAATTTCAATATGTGTTACCTTAGACCCGGGCGACAGGAGAGATCTTATGGGAGGTGGTGAAGGAGGGAGGGAGGGTCGCCAGTGTGTGTGTGTGGTCCACGAACTGCCTAGTGACTCCTACTCAGGTGTGACGCCCCCTTACCTACCTATTTTCTTCTTCCTCTTCACCCCAGCCTCTCTCTCCATCACTACCATCTTCCTCCTCCTCTAAAGTCACCATCACCAGGGAAGGCCCTCCTCCTCCTCTCCCCGTGACCACCACACCGCATCTCTCTGAACCTGTCACCACCAGCGCACTACTGACCCTGGGGTGACTCCTCCACCACCATAGTACCGCCCCTACGCTCAAACCATCGTCGGGATAACTTAACCTACAGTCTTCCGCCCTTACCCACCTCTCACCCGCTACGGTATGACTCACCCCAACACCACCACCGCCGGGAGGTTCTTGCTGCGTCAGGTATTCTTGTATAGTTAACTTCGGAGGAGGAGGAGGAGGCTACTACTACTACTATTACTATCACCTATACGGAGGACAGAGAGGCCACCGCACCGTCAAGCATATAGCCAACGTTCCCACACTAAGCGACCTTGAACGCTCTCGTAATAAGGTTCATTTTGCAATAAAGGAGGCAAGAAAACAAAGGAAAGGAAAGTAGGTTGTTTACTGGTGTGCAGAGTGAGGTGAGCACAGTAATAATTGAGGAGACTTTAACACCGTGACTAGGCCAGGCGTCTATCAGCTGACCGACATAAACAAAGGCAGATACATGTATGATGAAAACAGACTAACAGGAGCTCTCTCTCTCTCTCTCTCTCTCTCTCTCTCTCTCTCTCTCTCAATACATCACTTCTCCTGTTAGTGGCAAACTTATACTGACGCGGCTGTTCCACGGCCTGAGCAGCGCCCCTGAGTCCTAACAACTAGAGTGAGGTGGAAGGATTGAGAAGAAAAGAGAAGAATAAGAGACAAGGAAACGTATGAAAAGAAAGAAGGAAAGAACAATAAAATGGAGATAAATAAGAAATATAAAGAAAAGAAAGAAAACACACACACACACACACACACACACACACACACACACACATCAAAACAATCACGTAATTATTGTTGTTTGTTCTGGTACAATCAACATTCAAGAAAACACAGGTGACCCAGAATTATTTATTGACTGTGTGAGGTGTGGCTGCCCCTGTCACATCCACACAAACATCCCTCACGTGGAAAAAAAATAAACATAATCAGTCAGGTCACGAGAGGCTGGTACCTGGGATGATATAACGTACATGATATAATTTGTATGCCGTTCACTTACCTGTCCATTATCGTCTGTGTTATTTAAGAGTTTACCTGAAGTTTACCTGTAGTTTACCTGTAGTTTACCTCCAATACCAGCTCCTCCCTGAACAACATTCTACCCTCACACTCCACACTGTAAACTTCATCAGCGTAGTCTACTTTCACTTATAAGACCTAACCTTAACAAACAACTCCAACCTCGCCCTCAAGACAACAGCTACTCCATGTTCCTCCAACTCTCACACTCGACATAAACAAGCACACAGACACCATCACCTGCGTCACCAATACAGATATGTTGTTTTGTGATTCCTTCTGTACTGGTGCGCCTGATAAAATACAACTCCATGGTGTGTGTGTGAGACAGCTACATGTACCACCACCACTGAACACCTGTACCACTACTTCCACCATTAGCCACCTGTATCATCACCATTACCACCACCACCACCACCTGCAGTAATAACAACAACACCTGCAGTACTGACAACACCTGCAGCAATAATAATAACACCTGCAGCAACAACAACACCTGCAGTAATAACAACAACACCTGCAGCAGTAACAGCAATAATGTATTACAACACCCAGTAACAGCACCAGCACCGCCACCAGTAACAGCTGTAATACCACCGTCAGGTACATCATGACTCACACTCCCACGTCGCCGAGTGAAAGTGGGGGCGGCCCCGAGTACTATACGACCTCACACCTTATTACCACCAACGACATCCCTAGCAGGAGGTAGGAGAAGAAGGGCGTGGAGGAGGAGGGAGAGGAAAGACGAGGAGGAGGAGGAAGGAGAGGACGGGTCTGGAGGAGAAAGAGGAGGAAGGACATGGCAAAGGAGGAGGTCTTGCTTAATGTACTGCCACACTGTCAACACTCGCAGGAACAAACAAAGATCTTACCTGCGGTTTTTACACCAGGACAAGATAGTGGACCGGCGAGACACACCTGCTGGCTCTATACTCCTTCACTGTCAACACGTGCAAGTCACAGGTAACCAAACAAACGCTAACTTGTCCACAGTGTTGAAACCCTGGACGCGATACATGATCTGAGATACACAGCTGTTGGTCTCCCTCTATGAAGCTACACAGAACACGTGTCAACACTCAGCACAAAGGGAAAAAATCCCCTATATGAGATGTTTCCGACCCTTGTGATGTAAGAGAGGATTTAACAGAAGAGGGTGTTTTGCGTGACACCTTGGCTGACAAACTTACAATACATCCACTACTTTCCCCGGCTATGATCACCGAGTTAATGTAATGTCGGAAAACACAAGATTGCAAAGAATAAACTACACCTTAGATACACCGTGGCTGCCAGATACACCCTCCACAAGTGTATCGCTGCCACCACGCCTACTCCACATACACAGCTCATCAACCTAAATACATGAATTATATAATTTTCCAAAAACATCAATATTTTTCAAGCTAAAACTAAAAAATATCCAAAGGGTTTACTTCAGCTACAAGAACATGTACTGTAGCGTTCACGGTGAGGGCCACAGTAAACCCCACACTCACACGGAGGAGAGTCGCGAGGAGATGATACAAGGAGAGCTGAAGACTGGTACAGGTGTACTTACATGTGGAGCATCACATCATACAGGAAGACGCCGTCAGCCAGAGCCGCGTACGTCAAGCCGCCGCCTCCGTCGCTCTCGAACGTCCGCACCTGAAACACAACCCAACATAGTAACTCACACAACAACCGGCTGGGTATTAACAGTAAGGACATGACTCGAGCCTGGCTGTCTGGAACTCTTAAACCAATCAACAGAGTCAGCCACGAGGGCCAGGTAACAGACAGTGACACGGGATACCTGTCGCATCACCTTCCTTCTGTCTGTTATGATGTAGCTGGAGGATAAAGCTGTAAGAGTACCAACTGACACACTAGAAGCACAACACACGTCAAGTCTGTGGAGGGGACTCGAGCCCAGGACAGCTTGATAGCTAACTCAATAAGACAGTCACTCAGACCCGTGCCAAGATCCCGGGTTACTGGACAATACTATAACATTCAGAATAATCATACTACATAATGGATACAACCAAGGCCGGTTTGTAAAGGGAATTATTAGACAGTGAGGCTGTGTGTGTGTGTGTGTGTGTGTGTGAATTAGGTCAGATGATTCAGGTGGTTGACGCTCACCTCCTTACACTCTCATTGTTAAGTTACCTCCTCACCCTCAAGGTGGCGTGTGTCGACCCCCCCCCTCTCTCTCTCCCCCCCAAGTTTCCCCCTTTCTCCCCCAGGTGTCTCCCTCTCAGTCTCTCCCCCTGCCAGGAGATGCTGACCTCCTCTCACTCTGGTATGAGAGACACTGAACAAAGAGTCTCTAAAATTCGTGTATGTGTTTTTGTCTGTAACTGAATATCGTGAAGGTATCTAGTTACAATAGTCTTCCTGCCATATCGACGCCATCTTGTGTCGTAGTTAAGGTAAACCCTCCATCTGGTGCCTCACCTGTCTGAACTAGGAGGTGGTAATTAAAAGGTGCGGTGGTAGAATTTGGGTCCTGGAATATACCTGTATCTTGTCCAGGTGTTGAGAGAGAGTGTGATACAGTTAAGATAATATACCTTCAGGGGTGTTTACCTCGTGTTGCTCCAGTGGCTGTGTTGTATGCCTGCACGGTCCACACACACACACAATTCAGTATTATCAAGCAGACTCAGGTTTCCTCTATAAGTACGGTATATACATATTACACAAATTCTTTTTTTATTCTCAAACATACAAAAACTCGTCACTAGCAACACATGATAAACAAAAACTAAGACCCAACAATTACTAGTATCGTTCGTTTGTCCCGCAAGTCCGCCTCTGAGATAGTGTTAGTTAAGTCTCCTTTCTCTACCTCCACTACATCCGCTTCACCTCCAAAAGCCGTAAAAACAAACTGCCTCCCACCCAGCCAAGGTGAGACATTATGATAGCAAGAGGTCACCCGTGGGAAGAAGAAGGGAGAGTGGGAGGGGGAAGGGAGAGAAAGGGAAGGTGAGGGGGTGGGAAAGGTGGAAAAATTGACGTTTATTACCGACCCACCTGACTCCCGCCCTCCTGTGTTGACTCCTTACTGTTCCAAGACACCAAAGTGTAATGACTGACCAGGTGTGTATGGTAACTAGTCCACCTTGGCCACATGTGGGATACCCCTAAAACACCCACATCAGAGATGAACCGAACCATCGCATATAGTGTATCACCCCCACCCGCCCACCCACCCATCTAACACGACAAGGACTCAGAAGTTACACCCGAGATGACAAACTAAAACATAACATTTCTCATCAAAACTCAAATTGCTACGTGTCCTTAACCTCCGGGATGAAGATAGAAAGAAATAAAACAAAAATGGAAAGAACAAACAATAAACAAACAATCAAGATGAAAATATAAAGTCAACACAGGAGAACAATTAAGGCTCCCCTAAAAACAGTGTTCAGGTAAACAGCAGGTGAGTACAGGAGAAATTTGAGAGAGCGCGTGATGGCAGCTCAATGTGACGCTAATGTATACAACCACCACCAGAGCGGCGTTGATTACTTCATAATGGCCACCAAGATCCTCCATTTACACACACACGGGAGCAGCAACCAATAACGCCGCCAGCCAGGTGACGTCAGCACTGGGGTCTACTTCCCACCCGACACTTACAATACATTTAACCAATCACAGCGTGAGTTTACATGAAGAATACATAAATTTTAAAAAATCACAAAATAATCGACAATTTATTGTTTGAGAGAATAACACCATTTTGATTACAGGATCTGAGCCCGACCACAGGAAGGCGAGGGGGCGGTTTACTGTAACACAAACATACAGTGCAGTGTATTCCTGGTTCACGAGTCATTAGCAAGAGAATTTATCTATGAATGGTCCGTCTGTTGGTTTGTACAACTGATGATACACCACAAAGAGTCAATCAACTTCCAATACTAAAATTTGTAATATGAAATCTGCGGTCAGCGGGGTGGTCGAGGCGCTGCTTCAACCTTTCTTTTATTTACTCCAGGACCGACCGAGGCGCCATTGATGGACTCCCGGCCCCAGTCTCAGAGTATCGTATCTTACACTGCCTCTCTTAACTGTACACTCGACAACGTATCTAACTGGTTAACACAATGATGGAATCTCAAAAGCTCGTACATTAGACAATTTCCTCCCTTAATGAAAATGTAAGGAAGCATCTACCCGATTTATTTAAGCTGCGACACAAGCATAGATTTTTCAATGTTCTGTACAGTACGTTAAACTGCCACTCCATAACGAAAACTTTACAACAAATCATCCGGACACTTTATAACGAATCAAACTGGTTTACTTCAGCTGTTACAGAAGTGGCTCTGCTCTACCGTAGTTAGATACGATCTCTGTGTTAAGAAGGTTAACAAAGTATACGAACCTTGGGGAATCGAGGTCATGACCTCGGGAGTTTTACCCCTTGCTGTTTCACTTCATTATTTCATGTGTGTAGCCTGTCAACCCGTCACACCTTCCTCCCCGACACACACACCACACCGTCACTCTCGGGCTCCGGGTTCACAATGGTTTAATATACGTTAATGTTGTCCCTAAACTGAGCTTAGAGATAACATATCTAGTTAAGGTAGATTCTTAACTGTAATTTTGATACCATTCAGGATGTTATTTATATGATTAACCTTCAATCAGCCTGCCATGTTACCTTACGAGTCAAATGATACGTAGGAATGTTTGAGAATCCGAGCACTGGGTCAGGATTATCAAACGATCAGAAGAAAAAAATTTCCCGTAACTAGAAATGCAAACACAAGCCTTGACTCACTAAAATTACGAAACAAAAAATCACTTCAGAACAGCATCGAAATAATACGTGTTGGGTAAGTGTTCCCCGAGCTCTTCACTCCTCCATAAAAATAATCTGGTAAAGTATCTTCCTCACATTCACCCAAAACGTACATACAGTAGATGCTTTTAGCGAAACAACCATTAAGAAAGTGTTAACACAGGTTCGGGTGTGTGTGTGTGTGTGTCAGTCTGAATTATTTACACTGTACTGTAATTTCTAATCTAACTAAATTTCAGTTTTATTACGTTAGATAATTCATGACCAATTTAGGTGGACACGCAGGCACACAAATACCAGCGAGGAAGTGTAGGCTCCCCGGAGGAACCATTTCCCATGACATCGAAACTCGTAAACTATATGATAACGCACCGAGCTCCCTGATTTAAGCGCCGGACCACAAAAAAAGGCGCGCGGAAAAGTCATTAAAGTAGCCAGGCCACTTTTCTCCACCACAACCAGCGGCAACTCTCGCAAGGCAAGTAACCTGGCAAAATCCACGGGTATGTGGGCCTGGTGTGCGCCGATTGGTTTAACCTGTCAATGCTTCAGCTAGTATCAACACCTCGATATAAGGTTAGGTTAAGTTAGAAATACATTAGGTAAGTAAGGTTGGCTCGGTAAGGTGTTATGCGAGGTAGGTAGATATTGTTAGGTAGTTATGGTTAGGTTAGGTTTGAGATCTACGCCCACAGCGGTAATAAACACATGATTGACATTGATATTGAAACAGTTTGTTTAGCCAGAATAATACAGTGAACAATAACAACAATATTGACATGACTGAGGCAAGTGGGGGCTGAACTTGCACTGTTTATGTACGTCGTTCTATACACCTGCACTGTCAATATCCAATCAGCTCCCGTCATACCCGCTTAGGCGTGGATTCTGCCAAAATTGCTTCCTAATACCATCTCACTTACACCACGAGCCAAGGCTTATTGGACCCAGATTCTCATAGGTGCGTCAGGTGTGAGTCGCCTTGATCTCCTGTATAACTAGTACGTACACTTCCCAAATAGTGAGTGAGTGTGTGTGTGTGTGTGTGTGTGTGTGTGTGAGAGAGAGAGAGAGAGAGAGAGAGAGAGAGAGAGAGAGACAAGGGGAGGGGGAGGCTGGTGAAGGTTGTGTACCTTGACAAGTGACGGTGCCGTTTCCAGGCTAGACCTTCACGCCCACACGCCCACAGTGGTGACTTACAGCACGCACACCGCCATCCACCTCCTCATTTCATACTCCACCCACTCGTCTACTCTGGTCGCTGCTCACCACGTGTCTCCTGGCCCCCAACCCAAGACCTTGCTGACAGTAATTCTTTTGTCATCATTAATATTATTGTTGTGCGCGATCCTGGAATACTTGAGCTCTTCTGTCTTGGGGCTACAGGGTTCATCACTTATCGCTCCATACCACACGACCCAACCAAACCAAAATATAGCTAAGATTATTACGTCAGGCCTTAAGCTTCCAAGACAACGCAGATTCCATAATCGCGCACAGACACGTTAAAAAAAAATCTCCTAAGTTATATTTTCCGGTTGACAAGTTTAAGTTGTGTGACCAGAACGTTTCAAGGCTTAACACAGAATAAGTTTACCACCATGACAGATGAAAGTACTGCTATTTCTAAGGCGAGCAAGATTGGTGTCTGGGAGGCGCCACACTCCCTTCCCCGCCAGAACACATTTTCCCGTGTCGTCAGAAGTACTTGGTAGTTTCAGGAGATGTTGGTCAAGAACAGCCTGAGTCTGGGAACTAAGATTCTCGTATTTCAACGGCGGCACCTCTGTATTGGTGTACGTTGACCAGGGGGGAGAGTATCGGCTGTCTGTCCATT